GCCACCTTAGGTGTATGTGGCTGGCGCCTTAGCCGCTTGAGCCACAGGCGCCGAGCCGATCAGGGACATTTTTTAAACACCATGACATTCTCCCCAAATTTTCTTCACTCTTTGCCTCTACCTAGGAGCAAGTTTGCCACCTAAATAAGTGGACATTCTGAAATAAATTCTCACTACCGAACTTCAATAAACACACTTCCACACTTTTCAGAGTCCAGAAGGAAACTAATTTTCCTCTCTTTTTCTCAAATTACACAACTGGAAATTAATTTAGATACTTGGGAATTTATCCTGCTAGTCTGCCAGTAGAGAGAAAACAGGAAGTGGGAGATTCTAGTTTAGCTGGACTATATTGAGGTCTTCATAAAGAAACATCTCTTTTTGGCGGACAGGTGAAAATTCTTTCAGTATGAGCATTAATTAATCTTAAACTTGTAGAAACACCAAACCATGGTTTATCCCATCTGCCCCTTACCGTCACACAACCGGAGGCTAGGAGTTGAGCTTTCAAAACTGGCATTATTATAGTAAGTTCATGTCACTGACTCACCTTCGCTTGGCACAAGTCAACTTTTCCTCTACGTCGTCTTTCTGCTCCCGCCCTCAAAAAAATCCCTTTAATGTAGCAGACCTGGCTACCTAAGCTTTGATTCCTGTCTTCATCAGAGGCCTGTATTAGCCAAGCTATCCAAGCTTAAAAAAGTGTGACCTGAATGTCTGACAAAAAGGAAAAACAGTGCTTTTTCAATACCGAAGATCCCTGACCATGGAGATCTCTTTTAAAGGGTCTCAAAAACAAGGGTATGAGAAAAGGAGGATGAGTGAGTAGTACCATTTTTTACTTGCAGACTTCATCTCAGTCTTCCAGCTCTCGTTTCCTAGCATTCCATGTCCCCAAGATAGAGTCACCACCCCCGAGGGCTCATTTCCTTTGCCTAGGGCCTCTGTATTGGAGAATCTTGGCCTTCCATTAAAAGAAGTCGGGCATTCTGAATCGCCGAACCTCCATCTCTCCGGCAGCCCCTCGGTCCCTAAGAACACGAATGGCTCTCTCATCCAGTCACTAAAAAGAGCTGCTGGCCCCGGGGACAGAAAAAAGTCGCCCCTCTTCTTTGCAAGATTCCTCCCCTGAACTTCTCAAAGCCCTCTCAGGGCGACGTAACCCCAGCCTTAGGTAACCACAGCTGTTTCCTTACCCGCTTCCCGCCCCCGGGGGGCGCCCGCCGGAGGCCAGTGCAAAGACCGCTGGTTGCCAACTCCGCAGCTACCCCGGCGGGGCAAATCTAACATGGCGGATAGAGACAGGGCCTAGGCCCTCTGAGTTTCCGACATGGTGATTGGCTCCGACTACTTGTCCCTCAAAAATACCACCCTATTGATTGGTCAAGACTGCGTTGCTGGGGCGGGGCAGAAACAACCTGAACCCGCAAAACAATAACAAACACCAGGGCAGAGGGGCGGAACTACGAGCGCGCAGACGTGGGCCACAGCGGATTTCCCCTTCCTAGGCAAACGCGGCGCCCTTTGCGTTCCCTCAGGTCACTGACCTTAGAAGACTACTTGCACGAGGCTCGCGGGGTTCGATGGGAATTGTAGTTTCCTAGGACTTGTAGGTTTTCTAACCTATTCCCCGCTCTCAGGAACAAAACAGTCCAATCCATAGCTTTTGAAATGCATAACCGCAAAGGAGGTCTCCAACCTATCAACTGTGTTTCCGTGAGAATTGTGCCCGCATCCGGTATCGGAAGCTGCTCTCCATAAGACTACAGTTTGGAAGGAACACTTTGGCGAAGGCCTTTCATTCCGCAGTGCATGCTGGAAATAGTAGTTTCTCCCCCCCCCACCCCACAATCCTTTTATTTACATAAAGTGGAGACGTCCATTCCGGCGGAAAAAGTGGGGGGAATGGGGCTTCTTCTTACGATTGCCTTGGGCACTATAGCCACAGTGTTCCAGCCAGCTCGTGTTAGGGCCTCAGGTAGCGATTCTGACCCTGGCACAGCAATTACTGTGACGTAATAAGCCGTAACTGGAAACGCAGAGCTAGACGGCAGGCACCTAATACCAAATTCGGGTCAAATTCTTTCTCTTCCGTCTCTTTGTAATTACGTCACTCAGGAACGACTTGTCAGTGACCAATCCGGAGCTACAAGAGATTCTCGGGTGTTTGTTTTTTTTTTTGTCCCGCCCTTCCGCTATTCTGAGAGGTTATCCCTCTGTGTCATCGTCCGGTTTCCCTAGCGACAAGAAAGCGCGGGAATTACGGATAAATTGAAACTGCGACTGCGCGGCAGAGTAAGCGGAGACGTTCTGGACCAAGGACAGTCCGGAACAGGGCCTCTGGGCCCGGAAATCCGCACACTTTGCTGTGAGTAAAGGTTGTACAGCCCTGGGGAAAGGAGAGGGGCCAAAAGGATGTTCCAGGGGTTAGGTGGGAAACAGATAATGAGGAGATTGGACTCCTGAAGGAAAGTAAGATGGTGTTTATCCAGCTTACGAGTGGAACCTGAGGGGACTAAGACGTTATGAACATGGGGGCAGTTTCTCGGTCACGAGGAGAGCATCCCCGAAGAGGGCACGGTGTATCCAAGGAAGAATCCTGCAGATAGGCACTGTAATATGCCTTGGAGGTGGACAGCACAAATATAAGGATTCGGGCTGGTATAGAGGAGACCCTGAGGAAGAAGAAAGGGCAGGAACGTATCTGGGAAGGGGAAGAGATAGGATTTTGTGAGAGAAAGGACCCTTAAGGGGTCCTTACTCGTAAGGGTCCATACTCGTTTCTGAGAAGGGACAAGAAGAAATTAGAGGGGCTTGGGTAGTAACTTGCTGCGGCAGGAATGCGCTTTTGGAGGATCCTGAGATCAGTACAAGTCCCCGGGGAGGGATGGGAAGCATGGGCTTGTGTTGTTTTTTTCATTGTTGATTTTGGTTTTAAGCAAGAAACAGAAAACAGGCAGGATGTTTGGAGAAAGCTACTACTACTCCCTCCTGGTTAGTCACTCCACTGTGGCTTTCCCTTTCTTGGAGGAAAAAATAGAGAATTCAGACTGTAATTACAAAGAGCAACTAATAGAGTCATTAAAATTAAAGATAAGGGCTTTTGTCATTTATTTGGTATAATTCTGAAATGCCTCAATTTTAAGTTTCTTTTACTTAAAAATAATACTTAAGGCCGGGAGTGGTGACTCACACCTGTAATCCCAGCACTCTGGGAGTCTAAGGAGGGTGGTTGACCAGAGCTGTGGAGTTTGAGACTAGCCTGAGCAAGAGCAAGACCCTGTCTCTATAACGGGCGTTGTGGTCGGTGCCTGTAGCCTCAGCTACCCAGGAGGCTGAGGCAAGACAATCACTTGAACCCAAGAATTTGAGGTTTCTGTGAGCTGTGATGCTATATCACTCAACCTCAGATCAACTGAGATTCTGTCTAAAAAATAAATAACTAAAAATAATACTTTATACAATTGAACTGTCGTTTTTATAAACCTAAGTGGGTTTTGCAGTTGTTTTTTTTTTTTTTCGCTGGGGCTGGGTTTGAACCCACCACCCTCAGCATATGGGGCCGGTGCACTACTCCTTGAGCCACAGGTGCCTTCCCCAAACCTAAGTGGTTTTTAAATATAGGTATATCTTTTATGCTTTTTAGGTGTATTAAACTTCATCAGAAGAGAAAGATGGATTTATCTGTGGTTTCCATTGAAGAAGTACAAAATGTCATTAATGCTATGCAGAAAATCTTAGAGTGTCCAATCTGGTAAGTCAACAGGAGAGTTTATTAATTTGGGTTCTTCCTTATATGATTATCTCCTATGCAAATGAATGGAATTGACCTTACATTTCAGGAAGAGAAAAATATGTCTAGAAAGATCAGGATATTAGGCTGGGCTTGGTGGCTCATGCCAACAATCTTTGCACTCTGGGAAGCCCAGGCAGGAGGATCTCTTGAGCTCTTCAGTTTGAGACCAACTTGAGCAAGATTGAGACCCTGCCTCTACTTAAAATACAAAAAAATAGCTGGGCATGGTGGGACCTGCCTGTTGTCCGAGCTACACAGTAAATGCAGCAGAGGATCACTTGAACCCTGCTTTGAGATTTGAGATTGAGAGGAGTTTGAGATTGCTTTGAGCTGGGCTGAGGCCACAGCACTCTAGCCTCGGCAACAGTGAGACTCTATTTTAAAGGTTGGGGGGGGAGCATGGTGGCTAACTCCTGTAATCCTAACACTGTGGGAGGCTGAGGAGGGTGGATTGCCTGAGCTCAGGAGTTTGAGACCAGGCCCCAGCTGAGCAAGAGCAAGAACCTTGTCTAGAACCGTGCCTGTGGCTCAAAGGACTTGGGTGCTGCCCCCCATATACTGGAGGTGGCGGGTTCAAACCTGGCCCCTGCCAAAAATTGCAAAAAAAAAAAAACAAACCCAAAAACAAAAAACAAAACCTGTCTAAAAATAGCCAGGCGTTGCTGACCAGCGCCTGTAGTCCCAGCTGCTGGGGAGGCTGAAGCAAGAGGATAACTTTAGCTCAAGAGTTTGAGGTTGCTATGAGCTAGATGTCAGGGCACACTCTACCCAGGGTGACAGAGTGAGACTCTGTCTCAAAAAAAGAAAAAAAAAGAAAGAAAGATCAGGCTATTAGAGTTACTGCTTTCCTTAAGTGAAGAATTTATTTAAAATATAGACCATTCCTTTTTTTCCTTCTGCCTTTCCTTCTTCCTGTTTACCTCTTCAACACATTGGGGGCAGGGAATGTGGCTTGGATAAAGTGGCATTTGGGCTTCTCTTCTAGCTTTAAAACCAGTTTGAGTATTTGGAATGACAATAAAATCACCAAAGATTGCTTGTGAGGGGGATAAGTCTTTGGAAGCACATTTAAATACCAATCCTGTAAGTCATTAGAGTCTTTAGCAAGTCTGACTGTGAGTTTTTGTTTTTCTTTATCTGCAAGATTAAGAGGTTTTCAAGTTTTTGAAAAGAGGTATTTGGCCAGCCACTGGGCGCCTGTGGCTCATACCTGTCATCCCAGCACTCTTGGAGGCTGAGAGGGTGGATTGCCTGAGTTCACAGGTTCAAGACCAGCCTTAGCAAAAGTGAGACCCCCCCCCATTTCTACTAAAAATAGAAAAATTAAGGCCAGGGGATCGCTTGAGCCCGAGTTGGAAGTTGCTGTGAGCTATGATGTCACAGCACTGTATCCAGGGCAACAGCTTGAGACGCTCATAAAAAGAAAACTTGTATTCAAGTTGTTTTTTTTTTAATTGAGGGGTAATTTACTTACAATGGAATGCAGAGATCTTAAGTGTAGAACTCAATGAATTTTGACAAATGTGTATATATGTGTAACCCAGGCCCCAATAGAGAACATTTCCATTACCTCAGATCTCTTGTGTGTTTCAAGACTTCTTAACTTGCAGGACCATTGAAAGCCTATAGATAGAACTGTATTTCAATATAATTAGTTTTTTGTTAATTTTATTTTTTTATGCACTTAAGAGCATTGCTCTGAGAAGGAGGTCCATGGTACAACAAAAGTTAATAACCAAAAGCAGCCATTATTAGGGGTCCTCAAACTATGGCCTGCAGGCCACATGCGGCCCAAGGACATTTATCTGGCCTGCGGGATGTTTTTGCCACCACTACCTGTCCTGCTTAGCAACTTGTCCTGGGATCGCAGTCGGGCCCTCCAGCGGTCTGAGGGATAGTGAACTGGCCACCTGTTTAAAAAGTTTGAGGACCCCTGCAGTAATCTCTAAATCTATACAAGAAATGAAAAATTCATATATCAGAATCTCTTGGTTAAAAAAAATCAGAGGTGGATAGCTTGAGCTCATGTGTTCAAGACCAGCCTAAGCAAAAGTGAGACCCCCATCTCTACTAAAATAGAAAAACTGAGGCAAGAGGGTCACTTGAACCCAAGAGTTGGAGGTTGCTGTGTGCTGTGAGCTATGATGCCACGGGACTCTACCCAGGGCATCAGCTTGACTCTGTCTCAAAAAAAAAAAAAAAAAGTCCGAAAGGAAAATTAGAAGAATTATTGCCTTCTCTCTCCTCTCTTACTATCTACTGTGGTCATTCTAGTCTTTTTAACTGTTTTTTAGACCTGCACCATAGTCTCTTCCCTCTGAGCTATTACACTTTCTATTCCTTCTGCCTGGAATGTTATCCCCTGATAATTGCTTGTCTTGAAAAATATTGATTAAAATATCACCTTTTCAAGAGGCATTTCTAAACAGTCTTATTTAAAATTGTAATACCCCAACACATTCCTTATTACCTTTTCCTGCTTTTTTTTCTTCAGAACGCTTATTAGCTGACATTCTATATAACTTATTTATCCTGTATCTCTACCACCATGAAATATAAACTCCGAGAGGACAGAGGTTTTTGTTTTCTTTATGTACTTCTGTATCCTCAGTAGTTAGACGTCTTCTTAGAACATAGTAGCCACTCACTAAACATTTATTGAATAAATTAAATAATAAACTAAATTTGTTCCTTGATGGTTTAATTTTTTTTATTTATTTAAATTTTTTTTTTTAATTTTTAAAAATAGACTCTCACTCTGCCATTTGGGCTAGAGTGCCATGGCCTCGGCCTCAACCTAGCTCACAGCAACCTCAAACTCTGGGGCTCAAGCCACCTTCCCTCCCACCCTGGCCTCCCAGAGTGCTAGGACTATAGGTATGAGCCACTGTGCCCAGCCAATAGGGCTCATTTTTTTGTTTTTTTTTTTTTTTTGAGACAGAGTCTCACCTTGTTGCCCTCAGTAGAATGCTGTGACATCATAGCTCACAGCAACCTCAAATGCTTGGGCTCAAGCGGTTCTCTTGCCTCAGCCTCCCAAGTAGCTGGGACTACAGGTACCTGCCACAGTGCCGGGCTGTTTTTAGAGATGAGATCTCCATGTGGCTCAGGTTGGTCTTGAACCTGTGAGCTCAGGCATTCCGTCTGCCTTGGCCTCCCAAGTGCTAAGATTTTAGGCATGAGTCACTACACCCAGCCCCCAATAGTTAAATTTTATAAAATATGGTGATGGTACAAACTTAATTACACCCATACAAGAGAAAAGCTTGATTCAATGTAAGTTGCAGGAGAGGGAAGGAGGAAAGGGGATTGGTATGCTCTCACCTAATGCACACAATGTAAGGATATATGGCACGCCTCTTGGGTGGAGGACCCAACTACAACAGGGGCTTTACCTAATAAATGCAGACATTGTAACCTAACCATTTTTACCCTCATATTAATCTGAAATAAATAAAATAAGGCAATGGTTAGTAGTAGGTAACACTCAAAAAATAAATTGAAAAGTTGCACTTCTTTCTCCTTACTCTCAATAAAGAAAGGTAAATTGAAGGAAAGTTTTCTTTGTGCTTCATAAAAGTTGTTTTGCATATTTGGAGTCAATAAGATTAAGGAAATATAAGTTGTGTTTTCAGAGATAACAAGATTTACAAAGAACTGTCTTCTTTTTTTTTTGAGACAGAGCCTCAAGCTGTCCCCCTGGGTAGAGTGCCGTGGCATTACAGCTCACAGCAACCTCCAACTCCTGGGCTCAAGCGAGTCTCCTGCCTCCACCTCCCAAGTAGCTGGGGCCACAGGCGCCCGCCACAACGCCCGGCTATTTTTTGGTTGCAGCCGTCATTGTTGTTTTGGCGGGTCTGGGCTGGGGACTCGAACCCGCCACCTTAGGTGTACGTGGCTGGCGCCTTAGCCGGCTGAGCTATAGGCGCCGAGCCCAAAGAACTGTCTTCTCTCTTACCTATCAACATTTTAGCTAAACACAAACAAGAGCAAAACAAAATTTATAGCCTAATTTATGAAACATTAGAGCCAGGGAAACAGGCAGTGACATTGTAGAAAAAATTGCTTTTGAAAAAGCAGAAAACTTAATGATAATTACAGCGATCAAAAAATCCTCAATAGCCAGTGCAGTGGCTCATGCCTGTAATCCTAGCAGTTTGGGAGGCTGAGGTGTGAAGATTGCTCCAGCCCAGGAGTTTAAGATCAGTCTGGCCAATGTAGTGAGATTCCGTCCCTACAAAAAGAAAAACAAATCCTCAATACTGTGGCAGTTGGATCTATGTATTTTTACATTTGTTTTTTTGAGACAGAGTCTTACTCTATTGCCTTTGGTGTCACAGCTCACAGCAACCTCCTGCTCTTGGGCTTAGGTGATTCTCTTGCCTCAGCCTCCAGAGTAGCTGGGACTACAGGCGCCCACCACAACACCTGGCTATTTTTTGTTGCAGTTTGGCTAGGGCCGGGTTCAAACATGCCACCCTTGGTATATGGGGCCGGCGCCCTACTCACTGAGCCACAGACCCTGCCCCTATTTTTACATTTATAATAGACTAAGTCATAAAAATATTTTTTCTCATCCTGGCAAATTAAGCCAGTTAAAAACTCAGATATATAAAAATTTAAAATGCAAGACTGAAAGTTGAGTGAAAGTTTATTTTCACTCAACTCTTGTTTATTTTCTACCTTATTATTTTTTCCTGCTTTTTTTTTTTTGTTTGAGATACATTAATTTTTAATAGTCTTTTGTTTTGTTTTGTTTGAGACAAGAGTCTCACTCTGTTACTCCAGCCTAGAGTATTGTGGATTCATCATAGCTCACAGAAACCCCAAACTCTTGGGCCCAAGCAATCCATTTGCCTCAGCTTCCTGAATAGCCGGGACTTTGGGCAGCTGGGACTACAGGTGTGTGCTACCACACCAGGCTAGTTTTTCTTCTATTTTTAGTAGAGATTCGGGTC